ACTTCCGAAGCTAACTGACTGAAGATATCAAGTCTTGTTTTCTGACAAAAATTAGCTAAATATTTTTAGTGTTTGCTTAAAACAAGATAAAATATCTGCCAACGTTGGGTAAGAAAAATAATCTTGTTTTATCTTTGAATTCAGATGTTTTTCTCTTTCTCCATTTGTAGATATTTTTGTTGTTGTTGGCAAAAAACAAACAAATTTTAGATGTTTTTGTTTTTAGAAAACAAGACTTAATTTCTGAATTCATTTTCTTCTCAAGTAAATGCATCTTGATTCAAGAACGCTTAGATTATTATACTAGAAGAAAATAAGACAGAGGTGCTGAGAAAATATTTTTTTGCGGTGTAGAATTGATTTGAACTTACCAAATCTAATAATAATGTAATCTTTTCATGTTTTAATCAGACATTACTAAAAGATGCCTTTTACAAGAAAGGATTGTGAAATCTGTGTAATGACAAGGTTTATAGAAAACTGGGATAATAATAAATCCCTTAAAATCATTCAATGTTATCTTTAATGTTGTTTAATAACATTGAAATAACTGCATGTGTAGCATAAATATTAAACATATTTCCCAGCCCTAGCAAGAACTCATCAGTAAAATTTGCACGAGTAAAAGTTTGAATCTTCTCTATAATACTATTTATGTGGATGAATGCAAATAGTATTTTTAGACTTTTTTACAGCATGATCAAATCCTTATTTAACCCCAGCCAAATTACATTCAATTCAAAATATCAAATCACTTATTCTTTATTATTTGTCGACTTCATCCTCTTCGCTGCACTCACAGCACGGGTTTGGACTCGTTTTCTTTGCGTATTCAGAAACATACAGATTTTAATTAACATCTACTTTACACTTACTTTATTTTATAGTACAACAACATAAAATTATAATATTAATATTTCCATTTTTAATTAGATAATTTTCAAATGTTACACCAACAAGGTTTTAATGCAGACAGCCCTTAAAGCTTCTCCCTCGTTAGGAGCAGGTTCGTTAGATGCAGTATTTGTGATTTGTGTCCCTGCAGCACAAAAGCAGTGTTGAGTCGCTGGGGGATATTTGTAGCAATAGCCAACAATACATTGTATGAGTCACAATTATACATTTCTCTTTTATGCCAAAAATCATTAGGATATTAAGTAAAGATCATGTTCCATGAAGATATTTTGTAAATGTCCTACCGTAAATATATCAAAACTTAATGTTTGATTAGTAATATGCATTGCTAAGAACTTCATTTGGACAACTTTAAAGATGATTTTCTCAATATTTAGATTTTTTTGCACCCTCAGATTCCAGATTTTCTAATAGTTGTATCTCAGCCAAATATTTCAAAAAATTGACCACATTTGATACTCGCACTAACCCATTTTAATTACTTATTTCAATTTTTGATAAACTGTAGCATGCAGTCACTGTACAGTACGAATGGCACTTCTGTTATTTAACCAGTTACTGGAGATGGTACAATTGTAACTGAGGATATATAAGTTGAGGATATATAAGTTGAGGATATATAAGT